ACTTAACTTCATTAAAATGATTATTTCCCTGTTCATCAACAAATACTACTATATAACCTGGAGTAATTACAGAGACCAGGAAACATTGTGAGAGCCAGAGGACTAGAATATCTGAATATCTGCTACAGAATAGTGTTTTCGTAAAAAAAAAAAAAAAAAAAAAAAAAAAAAAAAAGAACATGGGGGGAGCATCTGGGAGAAACCCTTGCAGGGAGGGGTTTGGTGAAGACACCCTCCACCCTCCACCCAGGAATGGCCACTCCCAGTCCCTCACAGCAGGGAGGGGTTTGGTGAAGACACCCTCCACCCTCCACCCAGGAATGGCCACTCGAGTCCCTCAGGCTGCACTTTGTAGAGGTGTAGATGTCTGTGTTGATTATCATCTCCTGCAGGAAGGAGCTTCTCTGATGAGGGTTGAGAAATACTAGGAATAATTTCATTTCTAAGGAATGATGGTCACTAGGAATGACTTTGTTTCTATGTTCCTTTAGCAGGATAACTGTAGTAGACTTCCCTTAGGCCCAGGTCCTATCTCGTCCCAGGTTCTTGGCCACTTGAGCAGGGTCACGTCTGGGTCCACCTCACAGAGTGGGTGGCTACTCCTATACCCTCTGAGCCACTACTCAACCAGTATATTTTTCAGACAGGGTGCTGTTACAGGTTCCAGAGTTTGAAGCTGGGTGGTATTATCCTTTTTTTCCCCCTCCGGTATCATGCAGAGGACCATCTAACATTAGATGGTGGTTGTTAAAATCCAATGCCTCTCCATCCTCCTAAGGTTCCATTTACAAAGTAGGGTGTAGTTCCACCAAAAGTTTATCCTGGGAACCAATGCGTTTATTGGGCTTGCTTACAGAACACAGATAAGGGGTTATTCACAGGAATGTTGGTGACCCCATAGTAGCTACACTGGAAAATTTCCATACAGCATATAGCCACATAGATTTGAGCTCCTTCTTCTAGTCTTTTCCAGCATATATACTCTAGACCTTCCTTAAAACCCTGAGGGCATGAGCAATTAGGGCAGAATTTCATACAACTTGTTGGGAGGAATGGCTGGATACTGTCCCCACCGCCATCAGTCACCAAACCCAGCTGAGCCGACGATGTCAGCAGATACAGTTGCACCCCTTCAGATGCAGACTGTTTGCCTTGGAGGACAGTGTTGCACAACAGTGGTGCCGTGCACTAAAAAAGACAACTACGGAGTTTGTACTCAGCGTAAGAAACAAACAGACACATCCCCACAGTGAGCAGTGTGTGCCACATGGACTCTTGAGGAGAACATGTCAGGCACAGGAAAAATGAGGCCATGCACATGCGGAGCAGAGCAAAGACTGTTATCATATCGCTGTAGCCCAGTGAACATGTGCAAAGAGGCTGGACAGACAGCAGAGAGCGAGGCAGGAGACAGGCTCTGAGTAGTGGATGGTATACTACTTACAGTAATCTGGCTGCTGGCCAGAAAGTGTGCATAAAAACGGAGGAAGCAGAGAGGCTAGCAGGAGCCAAATGGCGAGGTGAGAAATGTGTTGATCCGGTTGATGTTGGCAGTACAGAGAGGAAAGTCATTTGTTATAGGACACAGTTTGAAGAGGATTTGCTGGTGGACTTGATGGGTGACATGAGACAGAGCAGGAGTCAAAGGCAGTTGGAGGTAAGCGGGGTGGGATTTCTTGCAGTGATGGAATTCCACTTCTGTCTGCAGCATGGGGGTATGGGCTTATGGGCATAGAGGCAAATCAAGAATTCATTATGACAAGTGTTATGTTATGTAGTTGGAATCTAAGGGAAATAGATAAACAGTGGAATATTTAAGTCTAGAGAAGGAATAAAACTTAAAACATAAAGTAGGGACCCTTAATGATAAGCAGTCATGACCTAGGCTGAGTTCTATAGGGAATGAGCACAGACAGAAAAGCCTGGAAGGGGCCCTGGAATTTAGAAAAAGAAAAGGAGGAAAAGCTTGTGCTTTTTAATGAGGCATGCATGTTCTTTAGTAACAATTTTATACTGCCAGTTATATCTATTATAGACATTTCCCTCATTGTGCATTTGTGATTCAGGGTATTATATTTTGAGTGCTTCTACCCAAAAGTATCAGTCGCACTGTGGCAAGAAGGATGGCTCAGTGGGTAAAGGTGTTTGTCACTAAGCCTGACAACATTGTGGACAGACGGAGCTGACTCCCTCAATATGTTGTCCTCCTCCACATGTAAGCCGTGGCATGCGCACACTCACATACATACATACATACATGCATACATACATACATGCACACAAATATAAAGACAGACAAATAATAAAAGCATAATAAGCATTAAACTTTTTCTGCACAGTTGACCTCATCAGTGATTTCTCCATTACTTGTCAGGTTGTTGGTTAGAAAGGCAGGATGTTCTTTACTTCTCATTTCTTCATAGCCTGTTCTTTGGAATTTATTTTGATATGTTTTTGCCAACATCCATACTGTCATCTTCTTCCTAGTTCACTGGCCTCTGATACTTTCTACTTAATAAGAATGACATTTAAAATGGGTCCAATTTCAATCATAAGCTTTACAATTTCAAAAGAAAGGCTGCAGAGATGGTCCAGTGGGCAAGAGTGGGTGAGCGCTGGGTTCAGCTCCCAGCACTCACGTGGCGGCTCACAACAGCAGGCAGGGCCATTTCTAGGGAGCCTGCAATTCTCCGACTTCGGTGGGCCCCTGCCTAATGTGGCTCGCCCAAACTCACACAGGCACACATAAAAAGAATAATAAATCTAAAAGACCGAAAATTTCAAAAGAGATGAGGAAATTTTTTTTCCTCCATTCATCAAATGATATTTGTATAAGAACCCTAGTATGCTTACAAGGAAGTGTATAAAAAATAATATCTACACAAGAGAAATTCAAGGACAGCAGGATAAATAGGTAATATAAAACCACGGAAGGACAGAAAGGAAAGGGTACACAGTGCTTTCCATTTCTGGGGGGATGGTGTTGGACACAGTGACTGTTTGCTGAGTGTTGTCCCTGTATCAGGCCTTGCTTACCGGGTGACAGGAGGCACCTGACCTCAACTGGCTCGAGTGCCATGGCAAAACCGACAGACACCAACAAGGATGATGGTACTTTAAAAGGATGAATTCTCAAAAGATATCGGGGCAGCAGACAGGGAGAAGACAGCCAGACAACAAAGAGTGTCCTTTGGGAGGTGGTACCAGTCAGGGCTCTCCCTGAGAGGGCCCGGCAAGGTCAGGTTGGAGCAGTGCTCATCAGCCGGGAAGAGCCAAAGTGCAAACCCTCCAAGCTAAGGTAAGAGCCAGGGCCCAGTGAGCCTGTGATAAAGGAGTGGAGGGGGCAGGGGAGGAGAGAATGGCGCAAACGCCCACACGTCTGCATGACTGACGGCAAACGGGAAACTTGGGAAGGGTGTAAGTGGCAGTGTAATCTGATGAACTGAGATTTCCTTGGCCGTTTCACAAAAGGTAGTCACTGGGCAAGGACCAGAAGGGTCTTCAGATAAAAATACCTTATAGAACAAATGAACATAATACTCTTTTTTTTTCCCCTTTAAAACATACAAAAACTAAACCCCTGCATAAAGAGGAGGAAATTCGAGTAACGTTCCTGAGGGCAGGGATTTGTCTAAAAAAGTTGAATTAAATGAACTAGTTACTAGTGGTGAAACAAGACGTGGATTAAATGAACAAACAGAACAGAGCTCCAGTTAAGTCTCACGGGCTATGGAACTGGTCTCATAATTACCTTCAACCATGGGACAAACATCTCCATCAAAGTGGGGTAATTTTGTAGTAGCATTACAGTTTTTACTGTTGTAGTCAAGGGTTCAGATTCAAATGTAAAGGTAGCCTCTTTGCTGTGCATTTCCCCAGCCTCGAGCTACCAGTTCCTAAGCGGCAGTTGTTTTAATGCAGAACACGCTGTATGTATGCACTCCATAAATGTGTATTTAAGCTGCTGGGATTCTCAAGAAAAGTTAACACACAGGAAAACATTTAAGGAAAAAATTTGGACAACTTGGCAGCATTTATCATTGCTAACATTGTTTTCCAGAGTAAACTCTGAAATTGCATTCTAATTTGAAATGGTTCTGGTTTGACAAGTTAACTCTTGAGACATCTAAGCATAGTATTATGAAAAAACAGAACTGTTCATCAACCCTTTATGCCAATGTTAATTTCTTTTAAAAGTACGATTTTAATGTTTTTTTATTCCTACAGTGACCCTTAAGAGTTCTATGTATGCAATCACCGATCACACAAGATGCATTTATAAGCTTATTTTGTAGTTCTAAAGCCAGTTGGGAAATGCAATTTTAATTTTGTTACTGAAATAATTTAAAAATATATCATAGAACTGCTTCTTTTCATTCAACAGTGAAGATCCAGAAAGAGATTACACCAAGTAGAAACTATTCAGGTTTATTAGCGTTAGAAAAATGAGGCTGATAACATCAAAATGTATAATTTGTATGTTTAAAAAAAATTTACAGTATGTATTCATTGTAATGATACCATGCTATAAAAGGACATTTTCCGTGGAAGTATATGTTATATGCTGAATATCTTCCCCCATACTGCCCTGCTCTCCCTTTTCTCAGACTTTTTTGTGGCAGAAACATTTTCTTTATCCACCTCTACGTTGTTGGGCAATCTAAATATTACAAATAGTTACACTACAAACACTGATAGGCAACTATCTCTGTGACATGACATTCTGGAGCCTTGTAGATGAATACTCAGCAGTGGTACAGACTTTCATGAGCTAGGTCTAGTCTTAGTGTTCTGAGGATACTCCCTACATTTGTACTTGTGTTAATTCATATTACAACCATTACAAAAACATTTTATGATGTCTTAAAGAACTTACACAATTTATTTAACAAGGATTCATTACATACCAGCCTTGGCATGTTAAATCCAGAAAATAATCCTCAGGAAATACTTCTGATACTGTTTGGATTCAGAACGGCTACCAAGGGGAAGGTACTTACCGGCTTTTATTCATAAGGTCTGCTCCCCGGGCCTTGTAGTAGTCTAAATTGGGGCGGAACTGGTAAGTCACAGGCCTTGGATTTCTCTAAAGAAAAAGAAATACAATACGTTAAAATAAAAAAGACAGAAATGACTAAAATGAACATTTTGATGTTCTATACATATATAATAAGATGTTTAATAATTATCATGCTTCTGCTTTTATTGCTTCTTTCTTAGCTAATCAAAATTGAAAAAAAATCCAAACATTTTAGTTTTAGCCTGTGCTATTGCTCAAATAAATCAGTGTCATTAGACTGGTTTTTAGGCTTTCACTTATTTCAGAATACAATTTTCAAAATGAGATAAAATTATAGAAAAATTATAAAGTTATTTGATTTGAAACACAAGCATGAACAATAAAAAAAGGCCAGGGGACAAGGTGTCCAGAAAACTGCACTTCTGAGGCAAAGTAAAAATGATCATGAGTATTTGATGACCAGAAAACTAAATATGTCCACTAGGTGGCACACTGAGGCCACCTCCCAAAGTGGATTCTTTTAACGTCAACAATTTCTAGGTCATCTAATCTTATTTATAAGCTTAATAAGTGCACAAAATATAGCAGGATGCCCATAAAACTGACCAGTGTAAATTCACCAATAAACCCTCCCATAAAGCAAAAACTGCCCTTTTCTGCCATTTAATATTATTTACAGCGAGACAGAAATGTCCTTAAATAAATAAGTTGGGTGTGTCCATTTAAATTTGCAGCTACTGTTTAAACTGTTTTTAGTACCAAGCTCCTTTCATACAAATAAAAATTAAATATACTTTCACTCTGCAAAATCTTAGTCTTTTTTATGCCATAATTTAAATGCATAGTGCAATGTCTAACACGTTAAATTGCATACATCCCACAAAATGTTTTACAAACATCTAAATGTTTTCTAATGCCCACCCAGGCATTTAATTTAGGTAACACTCAGGTCTTTAATATATGGCACACACTGTTCTCTGAGATCTACTTAGACACCGAATAGCTGCATTTTATCTTAATAGAAAATTACCGATATGCTTAGATATCCCTTGGAGACATAATTCCATGACGCATGCTGGTGTGGGGTGGAGGGGGGAATGGAACTATTAAGGTTAAGTAGTTTGAGATTCATCAAGCTAAGAAGCTGTGTCTCACCAGCCATGGCAGACAGACCTTTCCTCTTCAGTTGAGAGTATTTACACGCTCAACTGTGTGTACCTCTTCTAAGGCAAGCGCTAATCACCTGACAGAAGCGACAATCCGTGATTTAGCTACAGCTACTGTCCCATTGTTTTGGTATTCAACACAGATCTGTAACAATCAAATCTGAATTGCCTTGATGAAGATAATGGATGCTTCCGTGACAACCATACTATTATGTCTAACTGCAACTTTTCTCATGAGGAATTACATAGGTCACTCATGGTAGCTGATGACAACCTGGACTCAAGGACTGACAGCCTACTCAGGATCTACATTAAAAAGGAACTTCCACAAGAAAGTAATTCACGACTGATTCTGCTCCTCATTCTCTGTACTAGGAAAAGCATTTTATTTTTGCTAATATAAAAGGCTTTTCTGACTTTAAACAAACTAATAAAGGATCATGCTACTATTTGTTAGAAAATAATAAAAGAGCAATCCCATGAACCAGTTTCCTGAAACATTTTTATAAAGAAATGACAAGCAATTTAAGACATGAAGTGCTGATCTATCTAAGCACTCAAGCCATTATTAGGAACAATGATCTGACTTGAGCACATAAGTGGGGCTCAGTAGTTCCTTCACTGAGACCTACCTCTCAATCCCTAGGAGACTTGCCAGAATCAAAGGGAGGTATTTTAAAGGACTGCAGTGCTGGGAACAATATCAAAGAAGTAAAAACAGACGATGCTGATACTGAATAACTAATAACTACATATGAAATACCAAGACAGTAAAAAGGAATTATTACTGTTCAAAGTTATTCAAAGGTTTCTTGTTTAGATGGTGTTATTTCTAAAACAAAAACACATACATATAGATAACCCGGTCACAAGAGTGAAACATCACTGACAATTAAAAATTATCCAACAGACACATTAAACACATGCGTGAAACAAATGAAAGTAAATTTATTAATGATATATATTCTTTCTGTATGAAAAGTCTCTGAAACCTAGTATTTTACTTCACACTTAAGCCATGTTTCCTTTGAGACAGGCCCCACTTCAAACACTGGATAGCACATGTGGCTTGTGTTCACCGTTAAGCAGAGAACTATGTCTGGCATAACTGAAAATCACTACGAGGCTGTACACATCAGTATATGGACATCAGCAGCAAGGAGGTGTGGGTACTTTTACACATTAAAATTCATTGCTGTCGTTTTGTAATTTGCTTCTATTTCTTTCTTTTAATTAACTGTTAGCTTATCTGCTCTTAATATGTTTTCTAAAGTCAAGACAATTTTGGAATACACACATATACAAATGAAAAAGCAAACCAAAACTGAATAACCCAGGCTCAGAAAGACAAATGTATGTTCTCTCTCAGCCGATGTCCCTAGCTCCAAGCCTTCAGGTGTGAGTCCATAACCTGGAGTAACTGTACAAACTAGAACAGCAAAAAGTGAGCATGGGGGCCGGGGGCAGAAGAACTGAGGGGGCCCAGCGGGCTCCAGTGGTCTGCAGGGGCGAGGGGAGATGACTGAAATATGAAGGGAGAGGAAGGAGGGTAGGAGAGGGTACCTGAAAAACTGCAAGGACGTAACTGTCTACCTAAAGATACCTATAATACCGTACATTTGTGTACAGTTACACATATATAGTTTATCGAAACTTTTCCATTTGGACTGACGATGTTCCTCCCAAGAGCCATAAACTAGCTAACAAAACCCCAACACTAGGAATGTGAAATCCTCTTTTGGGTTATCGGTCAGGGATGTCCAAGAGACTCCCACAACTTTATGCGCTGTTGTTACCCCTTGGTTGCCTCCCAGAGGTGGCAGGAAAGGTCCTCTTACTGAAGGAACTATGCACTTCAGACAAAAGACTCAAGAGGAGCCACGCTGGATCTGACCTGGAAGCCTCCTCATCGAGGACTAGGCTTTATGGTACCAGAAGCTCCCAAAAGAGAGAAACACCCAATAGTTAACAGCTATAGTGCCTGTGCAGCTCGCCAATGATGAGCATGGCGCCATAACCCTGAGGGTGCAGTAGTGGCACACACACCTCAGTCATTACCAACAACTCTCTAATTACACTGAAGACCAGCTCAACAAGAGGGAAACCATGGCTTGTACTACAAGCCTTCCTAACTACTCAACACTGGTGAATGAAGGTTGCTGGAGAATCTATGATCACCACGTCAGTAAACCAGCATCAAAGCTAACAAACGTTCTTACTATTTGTCCTTATATTCACAGATAAGTGTAGTATTTAGCCATCATCAAGATAACTTTTTGCAACAGATGGAGACCATTCATAAACCCAAACCCTATCAAAATGCAGAACTGTGGAGCCCAGTCCCAACTGATATATCTATAACACAACTCCTGCACCTAATGCTCAGGAGTCATTGTGGAAGAGGGGAAGGAAAGATTCTAAGAATCTAAGCAATAGGAATTTTGCTGTTGGACTGTATCTCATACTAAATGTCAGAGAAACTATACCCAGAAAGTCTTACCAGCACTGGCTGTGTAAACAAGACCTGAACAAGAGTGACATCAATCCACATGCTAATGTGAATAGGAGAAAGTCTAGGAGGCTTCAACTTCAACAAAGAACTACAGGAAACTAAGCAATAAAGAGAGAAGGAGTAATAGCCTTCTCTGGGGATCAGTTATCCAATACCAAATGTTTAGCCCTGAAAATATATACATACAAGTAACATTATATTTAGTAATAGACACACACACACACACACACACAGAGAGAGAGAGAGAGAGAGAGAGAGAGACAGAGAGAGAGAGACAGAGAGTGCTAAATAAAGCATTGATTCTCAGCCTTTAATACAGTTTCAATACAGTTCTTCATAGTGTGGTGACCCTCAACCATAAAATTGTAATTTTGCTACTGTTATTAATTGTAATGTAAATAAGTGATGTGCAGGACATTTCATATGTGACTTCTCCAAAGGGGTCGAAAACCACAGCTTGAGAACCACTGAATTAAAGACAAGAAGCCATGAATTTGAAAGAGTGCAAGAGAGGTGATGTGGGAAGAAAAGGAGGGAATGATGTAATTTTAAAACAGCCTATCACACAATAAATATTTCAGTAGCCACTAGAAATGTGTCAAAGAACCAAATCAAAACTAAATAACTGATTTCAGTCACTATCAAGACTACATACCCGCCCCCCAATGGAAGCAATCCTTTCCTCGGAAGGATGAGATTAGGTAAAGAGGTAAAGAGATGCTTGGCTTTCCTTGCTTTGAACAATTTCTCGCAAATATACTGTATAAAAACATACTAGTTCTTTAAAATCTCTAAAATCTCTAAACTATGAGGCACTAGACTTTTACACATGCAGAACTCTATATGAGGAAGATCAGACCCTATGAAGGCTACAGTTTCTTACGGTAGAGAATATGTTGACACCTTTAACACCATGTCTTTTTAAAGCTATTTTCACATTCTGGATTTTACACTACCATGATCACCTTAAAACCAATATACATTAAAACACACACACAGAAGAGAGAGAGGGGGTATGGATAGGCTAGGATATGGGGGAATCACATTAAAGTCTTGCAGACAAAGTAACTTACAGAAGCAAAATTGATAGCAGTGGAGATCAACGTCTTAGAAGGAAAACCAAACCAAAAAAGCAAAACCATGCAGTGGGCTTCTGGCTTTCCAAATTGTGGTGATACATTGTTTATGATCTAATAAAGCTTGCCTGCTGATTAGAATGGAAAACTAGCCACAGCCACAGAGGCCAAACAGTGGTGGTGCACACCTTTAATCCCAGCAACTAGAAAAGCATGTATATAGGACAGGGCAGGGCCTCAGAGCTGGCAATTAGTCTCCAGTCATGTTGAAAACAGGATCTTCCCCAGCCTGGGTAGAGGGAAGAGCTCTCT